GACATGGGGCCGCCCGAGCCCGGGGACAGCGCGCCCGGGTGGGGGGTTGGGTCGCAGGGGGGGGCGCGGGGGGACTGCGGGCTCGTTAGTCTCTTGTAACGGTCACGGCGGGTTCCGTTGGCTGACAGGCGGTTGGAGAGCCATGGCCAGTCGGAGGAGCCTGCGAAAACAGCAGCCTCAGGAGGAACCGCAAGGGAGAAGGAGGTCGCTGCGGTTACATGGCAAAAAGGTGCGGGGGCTAGAAGGCTTGGGCGGCGGCACCCGCCCCTCCAAGCGGCCCAACAAGAAAAGTTCTGTTTTCTCGCCTCAACATGTCTTCCTCCAACCTGGTGGGGGATTCCAGCTCCTATCATCCCCAGCTCTCCTCCCTCCCCCACCTGTGTTGGACTACCGTTCTCATTCCCAGTAAGGCCATGCTTGCTAGACTTGGGGCCTCCAGAAGGATTATATCTACAGTGACCGTATTTTCTTGGAAAAAATAAAGGACAAGCCTGAAAAAGGGGCAAATCTGGAAGAGGTTCATAAGGATTTAAAAAAACCTAATTGCTTATGTTTATAACTTTGTTTTACAAAGGAAAATTCAAGAGCAAAACCAAGAAAATAATTAATTAAATAAAATAAATCTAAGAAACAGATTTCTGAAATAAAGGGTTATCCTTTATAATAAAGGGTGTATGGTCACTGTGATTATGTCCCCCATTGTTCCCAGCCAAGGTGTGACCCTTCTCCCACTTAGTACTGAAATGCTGGAATACATCCCCCCATCCTTCTGAGGCAGCCTGAAAACTTGAGATTCGCCTATTTACAGGATAACAGTCTTCATGTACAGTTCCAGAGAAAGACAAAGAACTTTCCCCCCACCTTACTCCAGTGATTTTCCCCTTGTACTTACCTGAAAGAAAGGCATTGTCAAAGAACAATAGTCCTAGGCATAGTTATTTGAGGGATAAACTCCATAAGATTTCCTTTAGGGACAGTGGCTGACTTTGATAATCTACTAAATTAGGATAAAATAATATTGTGCAGCCATTGTCTTAGCATGTAGGATGAACCAGATGTTCTTGTTAAGCCCAGAGTCACTTTGTGTGAGATGGGTGGCCATATAAATTTGACAAATAAAATACAGTTTATTTGTTTGAGCAAGACAGGTTAAGTGAACTTTGTAATTGTGTATTGTATATCCAGGTTTAGGGTTTAATGTGTTGAAGGCAGTATTAATGTGAAACGGGTCATTTAGAAATGTTAATCTGCAGGAC